TGTGTATATCAAAACTAGAAATTTAGATTAATAAAATGGCTCATACAGGTTTAGAAGCAGGCAAGTCCTGTCTGAGTCTCCACATACCAGTGGCTATGGAAGCGGATGGATCTAAGTCAGCAGATCAGGTTTGGGACTGGAAATACAAATTAATCCAAGGGCAGGAAGTTAGATGGCAGGTCACTGACAGCTGCTGGGATGGGCAGGAAATATGGCGGGCTGTTGGCTCAAGTCCAAAACACCAGAGATCCAGGAGCCAGGTGCAGGATTCAGATGCAACAAATAATAAACACACTTCTTTCCCACAGCATCCATGCATATAAGAAGCAGAGCACACCACCAAAGAAACCCTCTCTCAATCGCTTCAGCTCTGACTTGAGCATGGAGGTTTCACAGCACCCCAATCTTCTTACAACTGCTTTGCGGTCACAGCATATCCTTTAAGGAGTTGATGACACTGTGTTAGGGCAGATCCCCAGGGGATTACTAGATCTTAAATCTCAAATGAGATCTCCAACCACTGAGAATCTGGTCCAGAAAAGTTGAGACAAAACCTAATGATCACACATGTCAATATATAATGTAATATAATATAATAATATAATATAATATAATAACCTATGCAAGATAGGTTAATATATTACTACATATTCCTTCATGGTATGACCCAAAACCAAACCCACTGCCATCAAGTCAATTTCTACCCATAGTAACGCTACAGGACAGAGTTTCTGAGACTATGCATCCTTATGGGAGCAGATAGTCTTGTCTTTCTCCCTCAGAGCTTGAACCGCCTACACTGCAGTTATCAGCCTGAGGCTTAACCCATTGACCCAGAGAGACTGCTTTTTTATGGTGAAAGAACTAAAAAGAGAACAAAAAGTTTACTCAAATCTCCTCCCAACCAGACTTCAAGGGCCTCCAGTGGGCTTTGTTTTTATGAACACATCTGTCATAGTTCTCATCACTTTAAATACAAAAAGTTCTTCTGTTTTAAGGAAATAAACTAAGACGCTATAGAATTATATAGTTTGATATTTTTAAAACCTGTTCAAAACCACCAGCTGCTCTGCAAGAGAAAGAGGAGACTTTCTACACCTGTGGTGAGTTACAGTCTCAAAAACCTACAGGGGCAATTCTACCCTGTCCTATGGGGTCTCTAAGAGAGAATTGACTGAGTGGCAGCGAGCACTTACATTGCACTTACTGTATTGTATTCATGAAATATAGACAAGAGGACTTGATACGTGTGGGGGCAGGAGCTCATCTAACCTCCTTCAGCTTCAGTAGGGAAAAGGAAAATTCAACTCCATCGTAGCCCAAGCTTCATGCCAGAAGGTCGGACATGCCTCCGTTCTCCACCCTTCTGACACCAACTATTCCCCCATGACACTCCTCTACTGGGTGTGATAAGCAGTTGCAGTGGCCACACAACTCACAGACAATATTCACAATTGCAGAGGTGTATTAGGGAAGTGAACAGATGACCACAAGTCAGGATCAGCCTACAGGCACGTCTCTCTCTGGTCCCCAGCCTCTCAGCCTGTGGTTCCCTGGGCTCTATTGGCCAGGTGTCCTGCCTGCTGCTTTACCTCATTGCCACATGGTCTCAGTTGCACACAGCTCCTTTACTCTGGTACCCCTGGTCTCTGGGTGGCAAGGCATGTGCTACCTTACCACTTCAGACAGGGATCTTGAAGGTGCGCCACTGCTGGCTCCTCTTCCTTGATGGTCCCAGGAAATCTCTCTGTTCCTGCTTCTGAGATGAGTCTCTTGCACCCAGAGGAAAGGTAAAACCGACCAGTCCCTGAGTTAGAGTCCTCTCTGTCTTATTTGCATGGCCCCACCCAATCACTTGTTAGGAGTTATAAAGAAATGAATAGAAGAGCCATGCACAATTAATTTCACATACCCACAAGACGTAAATTCAGAATGCTCCTTTCTCTAAAAGCTGGGTTCAAAAATAAGAATCTCTTCACCTCAGCTTTGCAGGTATTCTGTGTCTACACTTGATGGAAGCCTGGACTTCGTGCCAATTGTTTGTCATTTGTGGTTCATGTGCCTTGAAAATGTTAAAAACTGAAAAAGTTGCCCTTTCTGATTCTGTTTTAAAAAATGCTACCCATTTTACAGCTGGGTTAGACTCCAAATCATTTAGTCCAGGGGACAGATACACAGAGAAGTGAA